TTTTTTTTTTTTTTTTTTTGGTTTTTCCAAACAGGGTTTCTCTGTGTAATGACCCTAGGCGTCTGGAACTTGCTTTGTAGACAAAACTGGCCTTGAACTCACAGAGATCCACCTGCCTCTGCCTCCTGAGTGCTGGGATTACAGGCATGCACCACCAGTGCCCGACAAGACCTATTTTTTTATAAATGACTTCAGAGCTATTTTCTAGATAGCTTCTCGAAAGAAAGAAAGAAAGATAGAGAGAGAGAGAGAGAGAGAGAGAAAGAACTGTTGTGATCTTTTATCATTATTCCTAAATATTAGGAATTTAATATTTAGTCCTAAATATTAGGACTTAAATTTTTTATTAACATATGAGTTTAATTTAAAAACTGATAAAAGTATAGTTGTTGAGAGATTATAGGATCTTGGAAGTTAAATTTAGTTGGCCTTAAAAACCAAAGGTGCTCTAGGGAGTAATGCTGTAGTATCAGGAGGAAGAAGCTGTGACTATATTCTGTCAGCCTGGCATTAAAAGGACCTCTAGGTCCCAGTCCCCCACCCCATGCTCTTTCCCTTTAACTACACACTGCTTATTCCTTCCCAATGCCAGTATATAATAAAACTAGCCTATTTTCCCGGTGTCATACATATTCTAGATATATTTAATTTAATAACTAGCCTATTTTCCCGGTGTCATACATATTCTAGATATATTTAATTTACAGATTAAGTTACACAGATATCTTTGCATGCTTAAAAATGTCAACCTTTTACTAACTCCAGAAAGCACAATCACACAGGATGTTCTCATGGTATTCTTCAGTTGCACTTACCTCTGCACTCTTCATAGCTTTAAGAATATTGCCCACTGTATCAGTAAAGGCATTAGCCAGTATTCTACCCAACTTCTTGTACAAGGAACCCAAACACACCACAGCAGCACTGAAACAACATTTAAATCAGAAACAAAGTCACGACCAAGAAGGGGAGGTGGTGGCATAAACATCTTAATATATGTAAACGTGGCTATTAAAAACTTCTACCATTCTGGTGGCTCTACTCTTAGTTTTGGGAGAGTATCCTCAGATATTAAAATTTCTAGAATTAGGTAGGTATGTGTACACCTCTGTCTGGCTTTGTGCATGTGAGTGCAGTGACCACAAAAGCCAGGAGGGGACATCAGATTTGCCCTAGAACTGGAGTTACAGGCACCTGTGAGCTGCTTGACTATGGGAGCTAGGAATCCAACTGAGGTCTTCCGGAGAGTAGCTCACACTCTCAACCCCTGGACCATTTCTCCATCTCCTTAAAATGCTTTTTAACTGTGATGAAGTATCACTCACTTATATTTTCTTTTGTCTTTAGTTTACTACTAAAAACTTAATAAAAGAATAAACAAAATCTGAAGAACTGAAAATTCATTCTTAACACTCATCAGCCAAAAATTTAGGAAGATGTTTTCAATCTCAAAGCTAGACTTGCCATGTCTTAATTAGTCTTTTTTGTTGTTATTATTATTAATTACAGCATCAATGATTGAAGCCATGCCCTCTGTGTATGCGCCATGAGTGACATTTCATCTTATTCTTGTTACTTAATCCAGGGCCTTCTGAATGCTAGGCATGTGTTATGTATCCTTAGCTCCTTTTTTTAAAGAACTATTTTATGTGTATGGGTGTTTTGCCTGCATGTGTGTATGTGCACCACGTGCATCAAAAGAGGGCACCGAGTCCCCTGGAACTGGAGTTACAGGAGATGGATGCTGAGAATGAAGCCAGGTCTTCTGCAAGAGCAACAAGGACTTTAACTACTGAGCCATCGCTCCAGCTCCCCTAAAAGATGTTTAAAAGGACTTACTTGACAGGAAAATGTTGTGGGTTTTTTGTTTGTTTTGGTTTATCAAGACAGGGTTTCTCTGTGTAGCCCTGGCTATCTTGGAACTCGCTCTGTAGACTAGACTGACCTCAAACTCACATAGAGTCGCCTGCCTCTGCCTTCCAAGTGCTGTGATTAAAGGTGTGCGCCACCACTGCCCAGATAAATGTTGTTATTCTTATAGATTAGAAATCAAGCTGGGTAAGGGGGCAAATGCCTTTAATTCCAGAACTCAGGAGAGAGACACGAGCAGATCTCTTTGAGTACAAGGCCAGCTCCAGGATAGCCAGGACTACATACAGACCCTGTCTCATAAAAGAAATTAAAACAAAAATTAAAAAAGAAAAGAAAAATAAAAATGAACTTATGTTCAATTTCAAAACAAGTGTCAGATAGGTTATATTGTTTAACTTACAGTTTGGTGGGAAGGTAACTTGGAGAGTCATCTTTGCTACGAATAAGATCATTACATTTATCGATTGTCTCATAAACAGAAAATGTGTCTCCAATACTATAAAGTATGGCTAGATTCTGAGCAAGGAGTTTTCGAGTGGGAGGCCCCGGGGAGCTGTTCAGTAATGATAAGAGCTGTTCAACAAGAGTCTTCTGCTTCTCCCTTACATCGTTCTACAAAGAAAGTAACAAAAGACAACAGAAAGTTAACATAACTACCCGTGACTACACAGTACAAGTCTTCCCTAGGAAAACTCTAGATTATTCTGAATTTGGGTCACAAGTATGTTGGAGAGTCAGGCACTGTGCTATACTAACAAGTGGTTCTTCGCTTTGCTGCTACCAAGAAGGAATTCTGAAACACACTACAAACAAAGACCAGGGCTCTATTTCTTCTAAGTCTACTTGGAAGACACACAATCTGTGATTTTATAGCCTCTTACTGAGCCAACTCATCCCATTCATTTATGTGAACAATGTAAGGCAGTGGCCTACAAGCCCAAGTAAGAGCTAACCCTGTAGTATCTTCCTGAAGTATTAAGTCTTCCTAAGGCCAGCACAATTTCCTTTTTTCAAGGGAATGGATATAAACACTAACAATGTTTCTCTATTTTACCTGTGACCTCTCTGAAAAAGCCACTGCCATGCTAATCTCAGGCCTCAATTCCACAAGTTAGTATTTGTTCAATTAACAGATAGAATTTTATCTCCCCCGCCCCAAAAAAAAAAAAATTTTTTCAGAAATGCTGCCTAAAGAAAAAATAAAAAAAGATGCCTTTAAAAAAAAACTTCAGTATATTGGTGTTTTGCAAGTAGTCACACATGCACACCAGTGCACCACAAGATACCCAGAGCCCTTGGAAGCCAGAAGAGGACACTGAATTCCCTAGGACTGGAGTTATAGACAGTTGCCTTATGAGTGCTGGGAATCAAACTTCGGTCCTCTGGAAGAGCAGCCAGTACTTTTAACCACTGAGCCATCTTTCCAGCCTCAGTATCTTTTGTTAAGCTTATTTTCCCAAAACCTAGAAATTTCTTCTTCAAGATATGCAAATTTATCAAATATTTTGTTATAGAGCCTGATAAAAATAATTTTTTTTCAGAACTAGAGGGTTTTTAAATGATTTAAATCACTTTTAAATTAACAAACATGCATCTTTTGTTAAATCCTACATGTATCTGTGTGTGTGTGTGTGTGTGTGTGTGTGCGCGCGCCTGCGTGCACGCGCTCTGTAGTACTGGAGGCTGAACTCAAGGTTTCAAGATTTCTAGGTCAGCACACTACTACTGAGCTACATTCCCAGCCCAAGTGTTACATGTATTTTTAAAGTAATGCAACAAATATTGCTTAATTTATTTCTGCTGATTTAAACTTGTAAAGTTAAAAGTGACATTTCAGAAGGGGCAAGGGATCTATCACAATTCACTGCTAAGTCTTTAGAAACTGTACCTTTTACAAACTAGTAGGTGACTACAGACAAAGCAAGAAAACAAACTAATGGAAGCAAGCATTGCTGGCACATCACAGAACAAAACTAGCTTTGTGATGTTACCCACCCTGCTGGTTGCTAGCAAAAGCTTCTCCAAGTGTCTCAGCCACTCAAAAATAAACTCAGCCTTCTGAACTTCGCCTAGTTGATTGAATGCTTCTTCATTGAGCAGCAGGCTATGAGCTAATTCCATTCCTTGCAGCAAACTCTCTTAGCTGGTCACAAGTCTTCTCATTTATAAATGCAGTCAGAATACCTAAGGAACAAAACCTGTAATGGAAAAACAACAGACTCTGAAAGGTGAGTAAAAGGAAGGCAAGCAGAATGCTGGAAATTTCTACAAGAAGTTAAAGCATAGCTAAATATATCTTTATATCTTTAGAACTGCTACAGGGTGAATCTCAGGAAGGTCCCAGTAGTAAGTTCCAGTTAGCTGACCCAAATTCATTTTCCCATTCAGTATCTGTTTTCAAAAGGACAGACAGGCCAAAGAGAGCTGATTGTTAACAGGCAAAAACAAAATAAAAATCACTAAAACCAAGAGATAACCCACTTAAAGGCATGTAAAACCAACGCCCGGCTAAAAATATAGACTACTTAAATGATCTCTCTCATGTATACTATTTAACATTTTGCCATAATTTACTTTTGAGTTGATTATTTAAAAACACATTGCTGCAATATACTTTCAGGGTCAACTGAGGTCAATGTTAGATTTTCAGTATTCATTGCACCCGAAATACCTTTTTATTAAAATATGTCATAGGTAGTTAACAAGTGACCAAATAGCTAGTCATCCTACTAAAACCCTGTAGACAAGCTGACCACTTTCCTACTCTGGTTTGGGTCACGTCTGCTCTTGTCCAATCAAGAACCACCTGCAGCTTGAGGCATTTTAGGACCACCTATCTCCACCAGCAGAGTCACTTTATTGGAGTTTGGTGTTTCTGATGGCATGTGGGGGATTTCCCTAGAACTGTAAAGTATGGCTCACATCTGTGTGACCCAGACCCAGCATCTTGGCACACCAAGCCTTTCTAGATTGCACAGGACACAGAAATTCAAGCTAATTTTAACAGGAGATATGAGCATGGGGCAGTTTTATTTTTAAGGAAGTTTGTATGTAAGTATGTTGCAGCAATGTGTTTTTAAATAATCAACTGAAAAGCAAACTATGGCAAAATGTTAAATAGTATACATGAGAGGGATCATTTAAGTAGTCTATATTTTTAGCCAGGGGTTGGTGGCGCACTCCTTTAATCCCAGCACTCTAGAGGCAGAGGCAGGCGGATCTCTGTGAGTTCAAGGCCAGCCTGGTCTCCAGAGCAAGTGCCAGGATAGGCTCCAAAGCTACACAGAGAAACCCTGTCTCGAAAAAACAAAGGAAAAACAAAAAGTAGTCTATATTTTTATACTTTTAAAAAGATCACAATAAAATGCGGAAAAATAATTCAAGTAATTTTTAAAAGCTGTCTACAAAATAAATACATTAATACTATTTGAGGGCCATAGAGATAGCTCAGTAAGTAAAGGCATTTGCCACCAAGCCTGACAACTTCAATTCCTAGAACTCATATAATCCACATAGTAGAAAGAGAAAACTGACTCCTGCAAGTTGTCCTCTGCCTTACACACACACACACACACACACACACACACACAAATTAATTTTATTAAAAATACTACTACTCTAGCTGGGTGTGGTGGTGCACACCTTTGATCCCAGCGGCAGCGGCAGCGAGGCAGCGAGGCAGCGAGGCAGCGAGGCAGGGAGGCAGCGAGGCAGTGAGGCAGAGAGAGAGGCAGAGAGGCAGAGAGAGAGGCAGAGAGAGAGGCAGGCAGAGAGAGAGGCAGAGAGCCAGAGAGGCAGAGAGAGAGGCAGAGAGCCAGAGAGGCAGAGAGAGAGGCAGAGAGCCAGAGAGGCAGAGAGAGAGGCAGAGAGCCAGAGAGGCAGAGAGAGAGGCAGAGAGAGAGGCAGAGAGAGAGGCAGAGAGAGAGGCAGAGAGAGAGGCAGAGAGAGAGGCAGAGAGAAGCCTGTGTCACACAAAAACAATACAAAACAAAAAATACTACTAATAAAAACTGATCATGCAAACCTCCAGTCTAGCTCCTGAAGGAACTCAGAGAGTAGGGCTCCAGAGTGATCATGCAAACCTCCAGTCTAGCTCCTGAAGGAACTCAGAGAGTAGGGTTATTTGAGCCCAGTAGCCTGTCTAGGAACAAAAGCAAGACCCCTTTCAGGAGACCCAATCACAGCAGGAGCAACAGCTATCATTGCGAATACGAAGCATGCCTTTAATTCCAGCACTCCTGGGAGGCAGAGGCAGGTGAATCTCTGTGAGTTCAAGGCCACCCTGCTCTACCAATAGAGTTCCACGACAGCCAGGGCTGTCCACAGAGAAACCCTGTCTGGGGGAAGGAGGGAAAACTGAAGCACATATGAAGGAACACACACATACAAAGATGAGTTCTCTAAGGTATCAAAAAAAAATGAGTTCAGTATTTCACCACAGTATAGACTGGCTGCTACAAGTAATTAAAATATTGAAATGCATGCCTCATCTTTTCCTAAGCAAAAATATCATAATAGAAAAGCCAGCAGGACATATTAGAAAATCAGCTGTGAGATGTAGGAAGGTTTTATTTCATTTTCTTTCTTTCTGAGTGCTTCCTAGCGTAACATACTTACACTACCAGATTACCACAGTTCCTAGGTATCTGAAAGGCCCATGAAAAGACTCCGCACTTTATCCTACTTATGTCAGCTGCTACAGACCCATGTCTAGACTCCAAGACACCTCCCTGACCAAAAAACCACCTCTGTCCAGTTATAACTGTCTTCTCACATCGGTGGCCTCTTCCCTATCAGTTCTGCAAACATGCCTAACACTGTCCATGACATGGCACCCAGAGTCATTTTGGAAGTGTCACTTTTAAGGGGCAAAGAACAAGACAGACATCCAGGCATGGTGCTGTGGCTAGTAACCCCACTACTTGGGAAGTGAGGCAGTAGTTAAGGATTATCTAGCCTTAGACACACAGCTATATTGAAGTCACCCTGGGCTATGTGAAATCCTGTTTCCAAACAAACAGACCAAAAGAACAATACAAAAAATGATGCTAATATTTTAACAGAAATAACATGAATTCTAGCTCTTGCTTAAAAAACTCTTCTGTTCCTTAAATTAAATGGTGCTGTTGAAGTGGCTCAGTGGCTAGTGAATCTGCCACACAGTGTGATGGTTAGCCAGGAACCTAGAACCCATCCTTGGAAATGAGAGGTGGGCTTGGCAACCTGCCTATCCTGCCAGCATTTGGGAGGGAGAAATGGGATCCTTGGAGCAAGCTATGAGGAACTCTGGGTTCACTGACAGACTATGCCTCAGTGAGTAAGGTAGGTGAAATTCCAGCTTCACAGGCATGCTAAGGCATTTTCCTGCACAGACTGTTCACACATGTTCCCCAGCCCCAATCATACTTATATATATGCACACCACACACTCAAGGAGAAAGACTTATCAAAACAAACTGGCTAAAGTATCCCCAATTAAGGATAGAATTTAGAAATGCTAGAGAAATACTTTCTTAGAAGAAACCTACTAAGCATACAGTCCTTTTGTCCTCCGCATCTATGACTCTTGAGGGAAAAATAACCTCAGTGCACAGAGAAATGTTCCTGTAATCACTAGGGCAAGTGACAATCCTCAGAATCAAATTACCCTGTCATCAGGAGGTCCACAGAGCTGCTGAGAAGACATTCTTCTTCCTCAGACAGCAGCAATATTGTGGTGTAAAATGATCTATCAAGTAGCAAAATAGCTAATACAATGTGATAATAAATAATTCAGCAAAAAAGCTCTCGTCCCAAAGCAGGGCACAAAGTTCCCACTAATGTCTCCCAAGCAGCCCGCATGTAAGCCACTCTTAAAAGCAGCAGCCATTCCTAGTGGCAATCTCACCTTTCCACCTCCAGCTGCACCTGAGAGCCACTCCTGCACTCTGAAGGTGAGAAGCGAGCGAGTGCACTTTGCAGACGGAGGCTCTGACCTGACCTGCAGTCTGGCTTTAGGAAGATGGCTGCAGAGTCAGTGTTGTCTCCTTTAAATCGTAACACAGCCACACCCCACATACACTGAGGAACTTCACTTTCCTAATTCCTCTTCCACTCATGTTTCTGTTATGAACTGATGTATCTACTGAAAGTGGACACACAAAACAATGTGTTTAGACATATGCTTCCTTTTTTTCCAGGTGAAGTCTTGCTATATGCTACCTAAGCTTGCCTTTAACTTGCAACCCTCCTACTTTAGCCTCTTGAGTAGTTTGGATGATAGCCAGGCAGCAGCACACCTAGTTGGGATCTATTTTTCCAAGTACAGTTAGTAGTCGTTTGAAGAAACTGACTTAATAAGAGCCGCTCCAATTCTAATGCCAGCAGCAATTTTAACGGTTGCTAATATTATCTGATCATTTACTATGGCAGCATGTAATACTTTGAAGTGTGTAACATTTATTTCCTTGAATAAACCTTCAAAATGTCAATGACGTAGCTATTTTTTCAAAAGTCTGTGTGTACACATGAATGCCTGTGGAGCTAAAGTTTTGGGTGGCTGTTGCTATCTGAAGTGGGTGCTGGAAACTAAACGAGGGTCCTCTGCAAGAGCAGTATGCACTCTTAGCCGCCAATCCTCCTCCTCACCCCTTGCTTTTGCTGAGAACTGAGCTCAGGCCCTCTGCAAGAACAGCACATGCTCATAAGCACCAGGCCAGCTTCCCTGCCCTTGGAGTAGTTATTTTTATTGCCTCTCTTACAAATGAGAAAACTTAGGTGGAAAATCAGTAGCTTTCCTAAATACACACATAATCTTTTTAGTTGTTTTGGTTTCTTATGACTATTTTGAGGGGAAGAAAATAATGTCAAGAAGAATATCAGACACAAGATAAATGTACTGGATTGGCCTGTCAGTGTTCCCCCCAGGGAATGCGAATCATTCCAACAAATGGAACCAAGTACAGAAGGGATCAAGTGCCAAGTCTTGCACGAGGCTTGGGGCTAAATTTCAAACACTTTTCTCACTACTCAAAAGGCACCATAGCAGCAACAGCTCAGCCACCTCTGCCTTCAGTTTGTATGGTTTTGCTAACAGGACCTCCCGAGGCACACAAGGCATTAGCTAGGGCTTCACCATGAAGAGAAAAATGAGGTGCTTTCTTCTTGACTGGGTGTTGAGGTACTGGGTAACTGCCTCACTGAGGAAAAGTGCAAAGAT